AAAAATGATGAAAACACAAATACATGTTTGAGCGTTATTATGAATTGAAAATGACACTAAAACAGCATGGAAATGCTTTTCATTTATAAATAAATGAACACGAATATAATGAAAATAGAAACATGCTGAAAATAGATACAAAACTAAACTATTAAGCATTACTTATGGCCAAATGGGGTCTTTCAACTGGAGGATCTGGTGGTAAATATAACTCTGTCATCTGTGAAAAAATAATATTATGAATTATTTTTAAATAAAAGAGATGTCTCTTTTTCTTGGCTGAATTCAAATGCCACTTGCCGAACGAAAGTATAAATAAATGAGGGCGGCATTTGCGCGTTTCTCGGTCGGTGTCCAAATTGGTGGAATTTTTATTTCTTTACGTCGTTTAGCTTTGAAATATGATGCAAAACGTGAAATTGGTGTAGATCTTTCGCTGCATCTACTTCCTGCTTTCGATTTCATTCCAGACACATCCGTATCTTCGGATGGTGTACTTTGTGTATTTCGTTCCGTTTCCGTGTGATTTTCTTCAGATTTGTTTGTTTGTGACTGGTCTTGTCCATCGGTTGTACTTTCACTTTGATCTATTTCACCCTTGTCATCATTACCTTCTTTTTCATCTTCATTCGTTTCTTGTTTGTTGGTTCCTTTCACTTCTTCAATGGGTTTTACTTGTTCCGTTTCATCGTTATCTTCGTTCATTTCATCATCGTCGTCATTTATTTCCGTTTCAATGACCACAGAAAGTGCTTTAAGTATCGAAACATTGCCATACGTTGTCTGTTCTTCATTCCACACCAAATGCGCAAAAGAACCCAAGTAATCTAAGAAACAAAAAGACGACGAGAGAAAAAACATCATTCGATTTTGTTCACTTTTTTAAAAATGTAATTATAAATAATGAACCTTCGACACTTTTCTCGGCGATATCAATATTGGTGTCAGTCACTTTCCAACAAACTACAAACACATCACGGTTTATAATATGATCCAATAGCTGCTGAGGCATTGAATCTGTTGCACAGAGGTCCAGCGTATCGATGTGTTCGCGTAAGATCTGCACCGTTTTTTTGTCTTTTGCCACTAATTGACATTTGTCGGCTGGATCCGATAGACGCTTTAATAAATCACGACTAATTATATGTGGCATTAAAACCGTTACACCCATATCACTCGAATTTTCCATAATTGAATCGGTAACAAATGTTATATAATCAATACGTCGACGTTGTGCCGACTCTTTTTCGATGCGCTCATTATCTTCTTCAATTTTTTGTGCTGCATCGTATCGTTCACGTTCAGTTGGCGTCATTTCATTGAGTTCATAGTAAATTCGATCGGAGCTTTGTGGATCGGACCGAATTCGACGCTCTGTATCCAATTCTTTTAGTATCAATTCAATTAGATGGGGAACATTCGCACCAAAAGCACAATTCACCAATTTTCCTTTCTGCGAAACGAGATTTTTGTTCAACAAAAATTGTTATTGATTTCCGTTGTTAAAATATTGATGGTTTCGTAGAAAATAGAAATTATAAATGGAAAGTGTCACACTTACTGAGGCCAAGAGCCATGTTGGTTCACTTTTATTACGGAAACGTTCAAATACATCGATTTTATCGCATTTTACCTTCAATGAATAAAAAAAAATCGAGAGTCAAGCGCAATAAGGGCACACTATATAAACGCCATCTATTAATAACCGACTAACTACAATGTAAATCAAACGTATCTGTTTCCCCTTTTTATTTACTCCCTTCCCCTCTCGCTATACTTTTACATTGTAGTTAGTCTGTTTTACAAAGATGTCGTTTCTGTGTAAGATGTGTGACGTCACAATGTATTTATATGGATAGCGCTCGACTCTCGAAAAAAACACTTTCGAAATTGTTTGGAAATGTTCTGAAATATGTATCGCAATCGCAAATTGGACATATATCAAAATAAATAAAAAGATGTGAAACCAGTGGTTTCAAACCACACCTATTTCGAGAAAAAAATATTTCAAAAATGGATCTTTTTTGTCGACTTACCACCGCCAAATGTAGGTCATCACCGCCTTGTTCAAGTTTGATTTTCTTCAAACTTCCAACCATTGCCAAACACGGACCACACCATTCGGTAAATACATCTAGAACTGGCAGAAATAAAACACAATCATTGTTATTTCTTAAATCTGATTGAAAATGAATGTGCACGCAAACCGATTAGTCCATCTCGATCCAAAAACTTTGCCAATTCATCGTTTGTATTAATTTCAGTTTGTAATTGCTGAACACCACCTTTTTTCGCCATTTTGTAATTTTCTTAAAAAACAATCAAGATACAGAATAAAACAATGAATGCGAAACGCAACGTTTACATCTTTATTAAATCGATAACCAACGTAGTAACTACATCAAAACTGGTTTACAATTGCTGTAATACAGCGTTTATACGATCCACATGGAAATGCTGTGTTTACCAGGCGACCATGTCTTTCCTCATTGAAATTGTAATAACTTTCCATTTTTTTATCAATTTACTCGATGAATGTAATTCCAAGTCACATTTCACGCAGAAAAAACGAAACGAACTTTTTTGTACTGAAGTACATGGAAAAATAGCCTAAAAGTCGGCAAAATACGTGATTTAGCTTCTGACATAAGCTTAACTTATCAACTGAACTGCTCATTCAGCTGAACATTGAATTTGTGCCGTGGACTATGTGTGCACGTGTGACGTTTGATGGGCGCCTGTTATGGTTGTATTACATTTTAAGTGAAACACTGGCAAGCAAAAGCGTTTGAGTGAGAGTGCTTCAAGTATCAATGAACTCTAACTCAATTCGATGACCGAACAGCGACGACGACGTTGAAAAAAAGTGACGTAGGTGATGGAAAACAAAGAGTCGACTTGAATAAAAATCGGCTGTACTATAAGAATAATGCGTAGTCGTTACGATATAAAATGCGAATGAATACGCATGGGCTGTTGATTAGGAGTAAAATCGAACGGATTTTCAGGAAATTCAATGAAAACTGGGCATTAAGCGAAATGAAAATCATCCCATTTGCCAATAAAATAGTCTCATAAAAATCGTATAAACATTTGTTTTATTGAACAGGAGCACATAATCGTATAGCAACGTCAATAAAACTGGCAATACTATACACAACGTAGAGAACGAACTGTTTACGCTTGGTAGCATATGACGAACAAAAGCGAGAAAAGAGGAGAAATGGACAGAAAAGCAAAAGAAGAAAAACGTAATACATATATGCGATGTGCTTAGACGCGCATACAAATATATATATTCGAAACCATTGACTGAATGACAGAAAGAAATAAAATATTATTGTTTATGAAGTGTCACGTTGCGAGTACGCCGTCATTCATCAATGTGAGAGAGAAAAAAAGTGCCGCGTTTTTCCATGACCAATCTCGAGAGATGTTTAATGAGAGAGACGAACCAAGAGGAGAAATGTTTTTCAAGTAATATAATTCTTTATGAGTACGGGCGTGATTCATCGCCAAATGAGTTTTATTTTTATATTGCAGAGTATATATTTTGTGAGAGTGCCGATTTCCATTTCGTCCGAGAAGTGTGTCAATCGATGAAAATAGAGCATGCTTCATCGGTTCAGTGAAAGAGCTATGAGTCGCACTCGACTCTTTGTACATCGTGCCGTTTTTCGTGTGCATCATGCTAAGTAGTACTGAAAGAGACCTTTTGGCAATGCAATTAATGCAAGCCATATTGTTGAAAACCACATAAATTATATCTCAAAGTTGACTGTTTATTATATATTTTTTTTACTCATCTTGCATTTATTTATTGCTATGGATTACGTGTATGTGTTTGTTTTTTTTTATCTTGACATTATATATTGTATAAAATTCAAATAATTTTCACGCATTTTTGCGTGCTATAATTGTAAATCTATTACTAAAAATTAAAATCAATTTTTATGTCGTATTTTTTTGTTGCCTTTTCTTCTTATATTTTTGTTTTGTTATTGTTGTATACATGGTTTTTTATGTGAGTGCCCACTCGATCCAGGTGTCGGGGAAATTTGTAATATATTTCATTTATTTGTCGGAAAACGAAATTCAAAAACATTGCTAGTAAACTAAATAATAATTTAGACGGTGATTAGTTGAATTTGCTAAACGATCTAGGCGGTCGAAGACTACCACGTCGACCCCGTGAACCAAAGTAATCAGATTGGAAGTGCGATGAAACGGGCTCGGATGTTGCAGTACGAAAATGTTGTGAAGCCGTCGATGACGTTGAACTATCATGTTGATTACTGTTGCCCATCGAATGATTTGCCCACGTAGATGGTGAGTTTGTTCGTCGTAGCCTATTTATAAAAAAAGAATAAGAAAAAAAGTATTGAGAACTTTTCGAAAAACATGAATCATCGCTCTGTTTGAAGTGAAACCGATCTGTACAAAATATTATTGTTTATCTCTTCGGTTAAAATGTGTCAACAACGGAACCACACACAATAAGTATCGAATTTAAGTGATTTTTTAATGTTTGTTTATACTTACGATGTGTGTCGATATGAAGGGCTTGATGAAAGTATGCGACCACGTCCTCTGCCGCCTCTGGTGCCGCGAATGCTAATCATCTCACGTGATAATTTATTGTATCCGGTTGGTCCGGTTGGTTGGGCTCCACATGTTTCCAATGCCAGAAAATCATCAACATGCAATGATGGTGGCCGTGAAGTATTTGGTGGTCTTGATCGGAATAAATCGCCACGTGATTGTGTTGGTCGGGGAAAACCTCTGCCTCTTGATATGTACAATTTCTTTTCCGGTCGTCCTGTGCTCGGTTCAACTTCAACGCGTCGCGTTCGGAAGCACGGTGCCGATGTGGTACGTTCTCGATTTGATTGTGGCGACGCAGATAAATGTAACAGTCGTTTGCAGTCATTTGTTAAATTTGTTTCCGGTGGTAAACATGATTTTATCAATTCAATGAAATCACACGGCACATTATCGACTGCCGGCAATTGAGTGTCGATCATTTCATCGAAACGATTGGCCGACCAATGTGAATACCAGTACTGTGTTGTTAACTGTTCTGGATAATCACTTGGCTTAAATTCACTGGGCGCAACATTGAAAATCGGTCGCATTGAATATTGAACGACAATACTTTCGCCTTGTGGAAATGACGGTTCGGCAGCTGGCGAATCAACGTGAAGCAATTCTTTTGTTGCATTGGCCACAATCGCAAGACCTGAGTCTAATATATTCAATAATTTTCTTAAATTAAATAATATTTCATCTAAATGCATTTTCACATCGTCCGATTGTTCTAGTTTGGCTTGAATTTTCTGTACGCTTTGTTCAAGTGCCAATAATGGATGTTGATTTTCATTTGGCACATCCACATCGCTGGCAATTCGTTTGAATTGAAAAAGTTTAACAAGATCAGATTCATTGCAGGCAAATGAACGTTGCTCATTTTTTACAATATCCGATGAACGTGCCAACGATAATATGAATTGTAAGAAAGCCAACAATATTTCGTGAGCAATCTGATCACCATCTGCCAGCTGAGTTAATGAACGTAATTTCAATAGGAGTTGATCTTTGCGTTTATCCAACAAAATTTTGAGTTGATATGATGTGAAACTGTAAAGAAGAAAGAAAGAAACGAAAATATCTAATTAAAATCGATCATTAAAGCAAATGCTATTTCATAAAAAATTTGTTACGAATATAAAACCAAACGGAAATGGCTTGCAACAAAAAATGCTGTTTTATTTTCTAATTTTATGTTTAGTTTGCCTCAAAATTACCTGGCCTAAATATGCATTCACAGTTTACATTTTGACTTTTTATTAACAAACAGAGAAGAAAACAACATCACAAAGAAAGAAAAGAAATAGTAGTAATAATCACAAGTAATTGTTTTCGTTGTTGTTGCGTACGCATCTAATTTACAACAGTATCAGTTTCGATGTCGAATACAACTTTCTGCGTTCCAATTGGCACCGATTCAAAATGATTCGGCAGGCTTGCTTTACGCCTTTCCGAGATTGTACCAACTGAATCCTTGAACTCGATGCTATCCAAATCATCATGTTCAATTGACCTCGGACTGGACGCTGATTTCGGTAACATCAAACGATTTGACACATCTAATTGCCTCGCCGATGACAGCATACGATCTTGAATGAGTATGTCAGGTCGATTTTCGGTGGTGCCCGTGTCCTTGTTATTATTGTGTTGTTTATGCTTATCCATTTCATAAAATGAATTTGAATTCAAGGTCGAGGCGAGTGTACGATATTTAACATAGAAAAATAACGAAATCAAAAGGGTCGATACGCCAATTATCAAAATGCAAATGGTTAAAAATGCTGTGTGCTTTGCATTGCGTCGCAAAATTTCAACGTCATGTGGTGGTCGGCGGCCGGGCTTTACACCATTATGAAATTCATCATTATCGTATAAATGTGAATGATATCGAAAATCGCCATTGAAGTATGTACACCGTAATCCTCTAATATTGACATCCGTAAAGTCTTTGGAATAAATGTATTTGGTTGTGAAAATTTTCGGATCTAATCCATAATAGTCATTGATCCAAGCACAGTCGAAATTATTATGATCGACAGTGAATTGAGCTTGTTTTGCGGTTAAAAACATCGCCGCATCGACCGGAAGTCGTTTGATACGATTGAATCGAAGATCAATCACTTTTAAACCGTAGTTTTTCTGGAATGCTTTTGGATTGACTGCGATAATTTGATTGTGTGTTGCATACAAATATTCCAAATCCCATAGACTCGACAATAATGTGCCATCGATGCACTTGAATTTATTGTGAGAAATGTCCAATGTGTGCAATCCAAGCATTTGCATTTCTTTCATCGAAATGTTCCACAAACCATTGTGACTAACGTTGAAATGCTGCAGCCGTGGATATCGATCGATTGGAAATTCAGTTAAATTGCAAAAAATCACCTCCATTTTTGTGAGATTTGAAAATGTTCGCGGTGTCGCCATTTTATCATGCACAATTTTCTGTACATTTGAAATGATCATTGTGTTCGTTGAATTAAGTCCAATGGTTAATGCCGTCCAATTGAGCTCTTTTGTCATCGAAATCACAAGTTCGGATAGTTTTTTCAACGGTTCTAATTCACCGAGACGCAGATAACTCTCGCGTATTACCAGTTTTTCAAGCGATTCACTGCACGGATTAAATGTTGCCGGATGTATCGATTGAATGTAATTCTCTTGAATAATTAACTCTTCGAGTTTAATCAAACCGTCGAAACTTCCCTCGTTCAAACTATCAATTTGATTATTTGTCAACCAAAGTGTTCGGGTATTTTTAAATTGTGAAAATGCACCGCGATTCAAATCGAAATGAACTTTAAACATTTCCAATGTAAGTTGACGCACTTGTATGGGATCGGGTATATATTCGACGCCAAGTAAATTCTCATAGTTGGCATTTTGCAGGCGATAAGCGACATTTACCCGACATCCATTCAATGTGATCACTTCGACGTGATAAAAATGCTTGTGAATGTACTGATCGGTGTGTGTCCTTTGGAGTTCACCGCCACCATTCAACGAACAATCGATGTTCACAGGAAAACTGTAACTGCTTGTGCTGTGCGTAAAATTCCCAATGATACTACAACTATTTGACACATCTGACCAGCAGAAATGGTCAAGATTTAGTGGACGATCGTCGATTGTTACATCTCCCACTGTATCATATACGTGATCGTCAATGTGCCGTGTTGTCGACACTGTCATTGCACTGACATGCCAAACACTTGACAGTAAACAAAATAACTTTAACGATGAAAACATTGTCTGTATTCGATGTGAGCTCTCTGCTCGGATGCCGTACGAAATATGTGATGTGCGCTGTGTTATGAGATTTGTTTTGTTTTGTTTCCCCGTAATTTTTTTTTCTCGTGCCGTCTTCTGCGGTTTTTCTCAGCGACCTTCAGCTTTTTGATTGTTTTGCATTAAATGAAATTTGTATAGAGGCATTTGTGTTTAAAACGCATTTAATCTTAGTAGAGAAACAGCGCGAAATATACATTTAAGTCTTTTTTTTCTTCGAATTTGAACAGTATTCACTCAATCAATTCCTTCTTCTTTTTTTAAAACAGTTAGACTTCTTTTCACCGACCGAACTTGTGATTTCAATCAACGATTCAAAAAGCACTGAAACAAAATTTATTGCAAATTCCTTAGCATTTCTCAGAGTTTCAAGTGTTTTTTTATTATTATTTATTTTTTCTCGTTGTTCTTTTTTTCTATATTCTTCTCCGAAACTTTTTGATGATCTGCATTAATTCAGAGTCGCAGATTTATTTCTTCTATTTGGGTTCGGTTTTTTTTTTGGTGCCAGACGATCGTTGAGAAAAGCAGAAACCGACATTCAATTGTATATTTTTGTGTTTGCAAATGATTGATTTTATGTTTGTTTTATTGATCGATTTTACGCGTTTGCAAACATATTGATACAAAAGTCCAACAATAAAATCTTTGAACAAACTTTTTTTATGATTTAAACTGATCTACTAAATTATTATTACGATGAACCACAAAGAATTTCGAACGAGTTTTCAACGTTTTAAAGCAAGCAAAAAAAATAAAAGAATAGAGAGAGAACTGACTCGAGCAAAAATATTTTTGTGAAAGCGTAATAATTCCGTGTGTACGCGTGGAGGGAGCTCTGAAATTCGACTGACGATCGTTTGAAATTCTGTCGTTTCTTTGATCAGTTTTTTTTTCTTCTCTCGAGCAGCAGCAGCAACACGGTACAGAATATAATCACGATGTTCTTATTTTCACTGTTGGCGTCTTGCTATCCCATTTTTCACTTAAATCGATCGCATACATTCTCGTGGCCCTCGCGTTCACAAATGATATCGCTCCGAATGGGTGAGCGTGTGCGCCCGCACACGCACACGTCGATGAATGCGTGTGTCGTTGACGAGGAAAAAGATTTCATTCTGTTTCGTCGCCTCGGTCACATAAGCGAGACAGAAAATCGTATGTAAATTTTCCGCTCTCTGTCTCTTTGTGTCCGATGATGACGGGTTCAAGCTATTCAGTTATTTTTAGTTAGTTTTTTCTCTCTCACTCTTTCTCATTGCGACAAAAAAAAATGTGCTCTTGTTTCATAATATGGAGAAACTCGCCTGAATATTTGTGTTTCGAAATGATTAAAAGGCTTCTAAATGTATAATAACTTGCGCATATTGTGTGAAAACGCGCGCATGAGAACAACAACAAAAAAAGAACAAAAACTAAGAATGAAGTATCACATTGCAGCGGGTATGCAAAGAGCAACACAAAGTCAACATTTTTGTGTGTGCCGTTTTTTCTTTATATTTATTGCACGATGAATGATCTGTTTTTCACGTGAAAGATAAAATAAACCGAGCACAACAACATCAACGGCTACGCTAAATCAATTCAATTCTCTTTCTTTTGATATAGGTATTCAAAGTGTATATATATACTTTGTGATTAAAAAAACAACCGAAATGTAAACAAAAGCCAAAAGAAAAACGTTAGAGAAAAAGCAAAAAAAGTGATGAAAATTCTGTTGAAATGAAAATAAAATCATCGGTTTATACTTACTCATAGTTTGTGGCTAGTGTCATGGTTTTCATGGCAGCAAATTGGCAACCGGTTGTGTTCAGCGAATCGTCAACGTTGAAAAACCAATCGAGCACCGCTGACAATACGCCAATGTAGCAATCCTTTGAGGGTATTGAGCAACCAACGATTAAATCGACTGATGGTGACGACAACATTTTGCTATTGCTGACGCCATACTCCGTCTGACCGACAAGTGAAATGTCTCCATTCAATATCGTATGGAATATCATAAGCACTGATTCTTGTTCCTGATTTAAAATCGACAATAAATTCGATGGAATCGATGTTGATTTCACGGCAAGCACTTTTGTTAGTAATTCAAACACTTTTCCATGAATCATTGATAAAAAGGCCACTTTCACTGGCGCATAACATAAAATGTTTGTTAAAAATCCTAAAATTCGTTTTGTGGATGGATTTATGTAAGCAAGAATTAGTTGCGTTTGAGTTTGTGTTGCACTGATTGCTGTAGCTGTTGTTGTTGACGATGATGTACTGGCAACGGTGGTGTTCAATGGTGTTGTCGCTGTAGATCCGTTTTGTGTATTTGTCGTCGCTTGTATAGACGAGCTACCATCGTTCAGTAGTGAATCAACGATCGCTTTTGTGACAAGTAATGCCATGTTTGGTGCTAAATCCGATAATTGGCCAATGACGCGACTCAAAATATCAATCAATGGGGCATAGGATGAGATGCAAAGTGCCTGAATCATTGCTGACAATTCAATGCTCTGCGGATGTAAATGTGCCGACCACAATTGACGATCGGTGATCAAACGTGCTTGTTCATCATTTGTCAGTGGATTTTTTGTTAAAATTGGCAACGGCACCGGCAACAATTGCGAAAACAACGATAATCCCGACACAATCGTGTATGGTCCACTCATAATGTATTTACAAAGTTCGCCCAACATTTGTGTCCATAAACTTTTTTGCACCGATTCGGTGTCAACGCCATCGGTTGGCGTTGGTTGTGTGTATGCCAGCAATGTTTTAACAATTTCCGTTTGTATGGCTTGAGCATCGTCGGCAGCAATCGATTGAGCCGGAATCGATGAGACCAATGTGTAGGTCTTCAATAACGGTTCAATTGCGGTCAAATCCTTGAATTCCGTATTTCGACAATCGATTACATAAGACAACATTTTTCGTAGAATTTCAATCGTAGGCAAAAGTATTTGTGTTAGCATTTGACCTTGTGTTGAACCCAACGTTGCGATGTGAACAGCTGGTTGTGTGAAAAACGTTGTTAATTTATCTAAAATTTGAATACACGTTGATATCCCGTCGGCCGAATAAAATTGTAAAATGACAAATTTGTATTTTAATTCGACTTGATGTTGTTCGTTTGGCTGTTTGAATTTATTTGTTGCGCCCGCATCGCCAAATGTATCGGCAAAATCGGTGCCGTCATTGAATATCGACGTATCTGGTATCGATAAATATCGTATTATGCGCAATGCCATGATTAAATCACCCGGAAATGTGGTGATAAATTCTATACTTCGCTTGATTATGTCACACAACGATGCAATGTTATCGTAACAAAATATATTTTGTAATTGCAATGGTTTCAGGAATATTGCCATCTCTTGTAAAATTTGCGAGATACTTGCATCGTCAAATTGATCATGCGATTTTGCCAAATTTACCAGCACCGATCCGTGTTGTCGTAAATAGTCTAGATTCGTTGTGGCATAACGAATCGTTAGATCGATCAAATCAATTGCATAACCCAGAGTCGGCGATTTCTTTAGCATCGAATTATCGGCAGTCGTTTTTGATGCATCACTTGCGGTCGCATTTTTTGATGCAACAGCGTTTATCTTCTTTTTCTCATACTCAATTTGCTTTAAAATCGTGATGATATTGCCACTCATTGTGATTGTCTCGATAACATAACCGCGTCCAATGTAATTGTCGGCCACAGCCAAACTGTACAACCCATGAAAATATTCTGGCAGTAGTTCATCGCGTTTCTCACAGTTTAATGGCAAATCGGCAATCGAATCCAAGTAGAATTTGGTTTTTATCTGAAATTCAAAAATTGATTACTATTTTGCTTTCAATTTAAAATAAATTCGTCACGTACCTTATACGCAATTTCAATGCCCAAATGATACCGTCTCGAATCTTCATCAATATCACCCGTCACATCCAATGTATTATTCGCGATTGAGTCAAGTTCAGTCATGTCGACATCATCCGGCTGACCATCAAGTGGTGCTTGAATCAAGCACTTAATCAGTACATTGGTCACTTCCGATTTTTCACTCAAATAATTCAGTCCACATTCGGTGCTGCACAACGACTCCAAAATGAGCAATGTCATATCGAACACATCTTCCGAAATAATATCGTGATTGGTACTTTGCGAAATGATCATCAACAGCGATTCAATCAATCCATTTATACGAAAATATCGAATAAAACTATTCGATGCCATTTTATTTGCGTTCATATCCAAAACTTTTTCAAATTTCGTTGAGATTGGTAAAAAGCGTTTTGGTTGTGAATAGCTTTGTGCGTCCCATGTAAATGCAGACCAAACTTCTTTCAGGCAATCTTTCAGCAATTTGCCATCGGGCGCTTCATCGACTACATCATCATTCACTTCTAATTTAATGTCACTGTTTACAAATCGTCGTTTCATAATATCCCGTATAACTTGCAATGATTCGTATAAATTCACTTTTTTCAAAATTGCCTTCAACGGAAACTTTATCCGTGTCAATGGATTCTCTTGTAAAAGTTTTATTAATTTTTGATAGCCATTCTCTGCACTAATTGGCTTCACTTCATCGTTGCTATTCAATCGTGTGAAAAATTCAATGCCAGTTTTGGTGTCCAAACATGCGAAAATAGCACGACAGATCATCAGTTTCAGTGACAAAGCCATGAATTTTTGCTCGTACAATCGATATAAATATTCGAAAACGTTGAATTTTTCTTTGAAAATGAGACATTCGATGAACGTTTCGTCAACGGCCAACATTTCAACCAACCGCAAACCACACTTCATATGCCGAATTTTGTAACCGGGCTGTTGCTGTGAATTGGCACAATCGAAATTCAAACCGATTCGCATCCAATCAACTAATTGTTGTCGATTTAATAACACCAAATTATTTAGCGTCTGTTGGCTACGGGTTTGTGTTGCTCCGGCTAAATTGTAAATTAAATTGATGATTTGAATAAGTTGTTCGGCCGCATGCACCCAATTTTCACGCATCTCGTTCGATTGTGATTCAACAAATGTCTTTTCAATGCTGGCACTTTCTTTTAGTTTTGATCGATGCAAACATTTCGTTGCCAATTCAACCAATTCACGAGCATTTGCGCTCATTTTTTCATCGGCCGATACATAGTGCTTGATCTCTTCGGTAAATGGATTGAAGTGTTTCAATGCTGAATACACGGTATTTTCGGCATCATCGTAATCCATTTCGTATTGCTCCGTTGCATCGTCGGGAATTTCATCGTCACTCAGAATTGGTTCGAATGGTTCACCTAAAGAAAAATTGAAAGGAACATTTTTAGAAAATCGTCCTAAAGACAATATGCTAGTAAAATTTACCTTGTGACATGGCATCATCTTCTGCCTCAGTAGGTGCCAATGAACTAATAGCTGTAATGGCCTTTTCATTGTCTTCCGTTGCCGATTGCGGGCTCAGCACAACTTTTGGATATTTATGAAAATCGTCTGACAAATGACTTTCCGGCGTTCGTCGTGCATCACTCGGTGATTGAATGTGTTCTGGTGACGGTGTTCTTGGCACTCGATTCGATATCGATGGTGGTGAACGTCGCGATGCTTCATATTCGCGTGATTTTTGCAATTTTTTATCCAAAACACTCCGTTCATATGGTCGATGTCGTCGATATTCGGGACTTTTTGACCAATCTCGTTTCAGTCTACGTGCATCTGGAGATCGTGACCGTCGGCCTGAACGTGGCGATGAAATAATCGCTGTTGCTTTATTTAAATCATCATCCGCATTCCAATTATCGATATCTGGTGATTTTGCATCAACCGAACTAGGAATAATCGGAACAACATTTCCGGTGGATGCAACCCAATCTTCCGTGTATTGTCGTGCCGATTCAGATACGGATACATTTGATTTTATAATTTTTTCAGGATTTGTTTCATTTGCGAAGAATTTTTGTGCTGTTTCTTTACTATCAGCCACAATTGGTGAACTAAAATCAATTGCCGGCGTTGGTTCGGCATTCTCTTCGTTGCCCAATGAATTGGAAATTTCTTCAATTGGAACACTTGGCGGCGGTGGTGAGCTAATCTGTTGTTCTCTAATTTCATCACTTGCTAACGAACCGTATACAGCCAATGTAATTGTTGTATAACTACCTCGCAACACTAAACCATCGGTTGGAATTTGTCGTATTCGTTCGCCGGTTGCATTGTTACAATTTTTCGCATCATAATTGATGCAATCGTTTTGATTGTATTCAAAATCACCTAAACGTTCAAATGTCGATGCGCCCGGCTTTGATAAATCATTTACAAACAATTGTATATGAAATTTTGATGGATTTGTCGCACCCAAACGAACACCGCCCGGAAAATCAGCTTGCACTCGTGCACCCAATGGAATTATACGCACTTCGGCTATATAAACTGGCTGCGGAAATTGCACTAAATCCAAATTCAAATCCTGAAAAATGATTTTAAATGAAAAGAAATGAGAAATTTATTGAGCACATCAAGCTATAAACAAAAGTATTATATATGCATTTGAGGTTATGTTCTATGATGCCAAATAAAAAACTAAACAGAATATTGAATTTCAATGGGATTGAACACTTTTCACTTGAATTCAATGCCGTTTTGAATGAACAATCGAAACACCATTGATTACCTCATTTATATCGTGTGAAAATGTATCAAAAAACAATAATTCAACTGTTTCGTCGGAATCTGCCATTTTTCAATATATTAATAATAGTCGCTTGACATTTCGGTACAGCGACATAAGGCATACGGCATGAAGTTGACCGTACCCCGACATTTGACGCATCACCGTCATATTCTACAGCGAACGAATGCGTTTCCAAATCGCACTCAATTTGAAATTTTTTAAATAAATTATTTATTTAAATTAATTATTTTATGTATTTTTTGAAAAATTAATTTTTCAAATAGAATTGTGGTAGTAAATAATTTAAAAAAAAATAAAAGAAGGATGTTCATTCATTTTTTCATCGAAATAATAAACAACGTGACCAGCGACGTTGCGATGCGTTTCATTTATTTACATTTTTTTCGAGTGGTATTTGAAAATGTTGTCATACGAATAGACGGCAAGCGATAAGAGAGACAACTGAAACCAAAGTGAAAACAAAATAGCTATACTCTCTCATGTCACACGCACACATAGTATATCTCTCACTGTTCGTTCTCGGTAAATGTCAAAATATATTCATTGAACATTGCACATGTTTTGTTATTGTATGTGCGATGAGAGATTTAAGTTTTGCGAACGTGTTTGTGTGTGTGTGTGTATGTGAGAGAGCGCGCATATAGAAACGCAAAACGGCAAGCACCAGCACCAGAGCACACAAACAGGAGAGACAGAGAATAGATTTTTGTTGATGGAAACACATAAGCGCGATAGCAAAATTTTGTCATGTCGTTGAGTTGAGTGTATAGTCAGAGAGTGTGTATGCAAAATGTCGCCCGACCAAATTCGATAGCGGGTGCTATTTTGTTGACTATTTAAATCGAATAAACAATTGTGCAACCAAATTGATTGAAATAAACTCGATAGCATTTGTGTGTAAGTCCAATTGCATTTTCAGCGTATGGTCCCAAAATAAGAGAGTGTGGAAAAAAAATAACCAGTACGGAAATGAAAATTTAGCTGCAAAACACACGAAGAACAGTGAGAGTGAATTGTGTGTGCAACTATTTGAGAAATGCAGCCTCAAGCTCTGGTGCCCGTGTGAATTTTGTTTGTTGTTGTCATTTCGAGAGCAGAGGAAAGAGAGAGAGTGGTGGCTCTTTGCCAATCAGTGTGTTCTTCCATCAGTGTTTCCAGTGTCTTTTTTTGTGTGAGTTGACCGAAAAAATGAAATAAAATATGAATCGAATTCCGAAAAAAATTGGTAGAGAATGTCGTCGATGGAATGAATGCCAAGTGTAAAAGTGATGTAGGTGTGTATGCGATGGATGTGTATGACCAGAATTAAATTGCGTTTTACGATTCACATTTCGAAGAAAATCCGTAAAATTTGAAATGATGGAGCACGTTTTTATGCATCCATAAAGCAAAATATTCAACAAAAAATTATGATCACCAAAGCAGTCGCTGAAGTATGGATTTTTTTTTTGTTTCAATTCGTGTGAAAAGTAAATTTAAATTTATTTCAAAAATGATAAAAGCAGACGTATGCAAAATCAGTTTTTACGAAATAAATTCGAAGAATCAATTGACGCGTCATCTTTTAAAGAACAAAATAAAATTCAACGAAATTAGATTTTTATGATTTTATAACATGTAACAAATACGCACTTCGCAATACATCAAAACCACATTTAAATATTAGAAACGAGAACGGAAGGCATGCAAAACAAAAAAAACTGTCGTTTCTATTTCGTTTCGTCGAATTTGTTTTGAAATCAAAGATCTTGTTTTTAAATCGAAAATACCCATACAGATGGCTAGAGAGAGTGAGTGTGTGTAAGAAAGCGCGAAAGAATGAATGTGGCATAAGTTCGTTCGATTTGCTCATATTGTATATAGTCTGAAACCAGCTGATGGTATGAGTGTGCATATGCTCCATTTAAGCGCGTAATCAGGACGTTTTTCTGTAAAAAAGACCCATACAAATCTTGATTGCGCCTATATACAATTATAAAACCGCGTTATTACTGCAATTTAAAAAATAATAACACTGTTGTGAATGTGTGTATGATGGTTTTTTTATTATCGTTTCGATTTGGTTTAATCGCCGCGCAATTTGCTACTATCAACAACGACGTAATCGTTAATCGACCAAAGATATTACTCTGAGTAAATTTGTTGTTGTTGTTTGCTTGTTCGGTGCTCTCATATGTCTTTGTGCTACGTGACATTTCAAACTTTCATCGTTTGGTCTCTTCTTGATTTGATTTATAGTAATCGTGATTTTTATTTTGACAGTGATTCGATTGCGGAGGCATTTGGTGTTCGAGAAGAAGAGGAAAGTGAAGCAGAAAAGGAGCATAGTCAGTCCTCTTTTTTGTGTGTGGCGTGACAAGCGAACATTGCCACCAAAATTATCAGCGGAAATTCAACAAACGCAATTCCAAGAAAAAAGGCTCTGTTTGGCAAACAAATTACATACAAATGTGAAAACCAATTTTTTTTATTCGACAAACTCAAACACGGTGAGACGGTGTATATGCTTATGCCTTCATAGAGAAGTAGAAAAAAAACAATCTCAAGAGTTTTTTTTGGTTATTTTCGTACGAGCAACTCGGTGTGTGTATGTCATACACAAAACGAAATCGAAAGAAATACTGACGACGCCATCAGTCCGGTTTATGTTTGTTTAGTCATGTGTTTTGACAGTCAATCCAATTCATTTTTAATTTGGAATGCACGAAACCAACGACGATAAAACAACGAAGTAAAACAGAACCCACAAAATAAAAAAAAACTAAATTATGAACGAAAATCGACGACAAACTTCAAACACCATCATATTTTTCAGTATTTGCCATGGCCTTTGTTTCACCTGAATGAAACTTATCAGCATAAAGTTTTTAATTGTTACCAAAGACAAATCGAACACAAAAAGAAATCAACAAACTTCGCATAATATTTCAAATCGTTTATTTTAATCGTGATCATCACACCTACAGAGATCGGTGAGAGAGAAAAAAAGAGGGAGAAAAGACTTTATTATACGTCATAAATGTTATGCAAATATTATTATTCATTTGGACTTTTGTCGTCTCTTAATTTTGTCCAATAAATTGTTTATTGTGTTTTCACAAAATTTGTTAAAAAAAATGCTGATTATGTGGTGATTGTGCTTAGAGAAGAACCAAATAAATTAACAAGTGCTGTTTGTTTTGTGGAAAAAAAGGTTCACAATGACTTGAAAGTGCGCGCACAAATGAGGTGTTTGCAATAAAAATTGACGAAGATTAATTTGAGTGTTTTCAAAACGTAAAGACACAAAAAATTTTTTGTAATCATTTATTTATTCGACGCAGTCGCTAAGAATACGCACAAATACAAATTAGTGTTTAAGGAAAATCAATTTATACAAATTTCAAATATGGGTGCAAAAACGAGCACAGCCAATGGTGGAAATAGTGCGACCAGTTCGGGACCACATCACCAACACCATGTACACAGTCAACCGCACAATTCACAAAGTCCACGAACCCGAACATTTTCATCGAGCAGTAGTTCGGCCACCGAAGTTATACAAGGCGGCAATTCAAGCGCTACTGGATTTAATTTACTTAGATCAATACCAGGCATGCACGTTACGGCCACCAATCAATCGACCATAGATCGACAACGGGCCCGAAGCCTTTCATCGGTTCCGGATTTACAACAAAGCAATGGAAATGGAACAACGCAATCCAATTATTTGAATGGTAAAAAATCATTGCAACTAACGCCTCACCATCAATCTTACTGCTACCGATTTAATTTACACAACTTTTTTTTGTTTCTAATGTTTTTTTTCTGTTGCGTCTGCCCATTGCGTGTTTCAGCAATTCCACAAATCCAAAGTTCGAACATCGAAGCGGTGATACAACAAGCAACATTGGCACAAGATGCTGATAGTATAGCGGCCGCAACAGCTGGTGCCATAGCATTAGGACGCGTTTACACAGCCACATCATTGCCTTCACATAATGGTATTTGGTCATTAAATGGTAAGTGCATTTTATTCGCCATTCATTGAATGTTTGGTGCGTGTGCACCACTTTTTTTGCTGCATCTACGGTAAATTTGTGAACATGTTGGACGGATCAAATAGCGCGATATCGACTACAATGACCGCCGAGAATATATTGACGTGCTCATTCTATCTCTCTCTCAAACGAGAGAGCAAATGAGATAGAGAATTTCATTGTCGCATTAATGCAAATTAAATGGCAAACAAATTAAATATACTTTACTGTACGAAGCACATTTCGATTTATTGAAAATAATTTGCAGCCACTTTTGTTGGCGTGCGCCCAGCTCTTCTTATACACACGCACATCGATATGGCTAGCGATATAATATCAACATCAAAATGTGCTTGTGTTATTATTTTGTTGATAATGTTTGGCTAAAATATCTCATCGTTGACGCTCTCAAACTCCAGCTCGAGTCGAATACCTTTTTCAACGATTACATAAATATTAATAAAGCGCAATTCCATAGTGGGCACTTTTGTTTAGCGAAAAATTATGACACCAGACCCGGTCCTGGCACCATTTAATGGTTGTGATAGCCAGCCAACCGGAAATACCAACAAAACCGACCATGTACAACATCTGATGATGGTGAATAAAGTAAATGCAAAGAACATTGCAAAATGATTGAGTCATTTATCAGTGCGTGCCGGCGACTGTGCGTGCACAATGCTTAAATTGAGAGATGATGATGGTGTCGTATTTTTCACAAGCAACCACCAAGACAAGCTAGAGAGGCAATAAGAGAGCTAGACGAACTAAGAAGCATTAAAAAAACAAATAAATAAATTGGAATTTATTCACAGTCCCAATGATGTAATTTCTTTAGATTTTCTTGAACTTTAGGAATATATATTTTTCACATGAAAAATACCGAATCTCGCGCGCCCCTTATTTTCATTTACCTGCGGTCGATGTGACTGAGAATTCAAAGTCTCGAAACTATAGCAAATCAACGCGAATAGAACAAAATGGTACTCAGCCCACCAAGCAAGGCGATACAAAGAGAACCATAAATGAAATGAATGCATATAAACGATAATGTGATTCATCATCATTTCCATAGAATTTCATAGTCAAAACGAATTACAATATAATTTTCATGATTTCATTTCGTTGTTCTACTTTTCTGTTTTTTTTTTTTTTGTTTTCACTTTCGCATTTCTGTTACGTATCTCTCTCACACAAATTATTCAGGCGTTTGTTTTCATAAATTCAGCAACTGTTATTATTGTGATTATTTCATGTTGGCCGTATGCTGCCGGCCTGATGATGGTGCTAAATTTTACACTCACGTTGCAAGTACATACAACACAAAGAAAAACAAAAACAAATGAAAATCATTACACAAAATGCTAACGTGCTATTTTCCGTGGCGCTTTTCTGGCTTTTTCCTTCATTTTATATGACGCGCTTTTGTGTAATTTACATAATGTCCTTCGTTTATGCGGTGAATGTGTTGGATTAGCTATACCATTCCCATTTAGTAGATATCGAGCGCAAATATCATGCTCATGGAAAACAAAAACAAATCTGAAAATAGAATTATGCGAATAAAATACCAATGTATTGCACGCGAGTGTGCTAAAAAGGACTTCAGATACATTGAATTATTCATTGAAATTGTGTGCTCTCTCGACGTGTTTTTACTTTTCCCACACTCTCTCTCTCTCCCTGCCGCTTTCTGTTTTTTCCTCTCATTTTCCCATGTACTTGTTCGTGCGGTACGGCTCGACAGCTGTCTGTTGTAGTTGAATTCTATTGGTTCGACTTCAATTTTCAAGTAAATATAATCTTTTAATATGCACGAATCGCTCGATTTCATCATAATGTAATTCGAAGAAAAACTGGCAGTTCCGACTAAATACCATCTACAATATATATAAGTATCATCTATATTGATAACAGCATTTTTGTCTATGCCATGAATTTTGCATGGGTATATCAATATCAATCGTTCGAAATTGAAATCCATAGGACTTTATGGCACATTCACATCAATATCCATCTCATTTTCATTGTCACTGACGGTCTTGAATAATTTTCGTCAATCAATGGCGTGGCACTCATCAATTTTAATTAATAGTTCTGCATCGTTCGCTGGATTTAATGTGCGTATACGTTATCTACATTGTCATTTGTTGTTTCGGACAAATCATGTCAAAAGCGTCATTCCATCAAACAACAGCAGCCACACTAAAGAGATTATTATCGCTTCAAAGTGTACATTAGATTGCTTGAAAAAGTTCATTCGCTCCACAACGACAAAATACCATAGAAATCATCATTTTCTGTGTAAAAACTTACATTCCATCGAAATCAATGTAGAAAAAAGAAGATGAATTTCATTGCAAGTATTAATCGAATTTCGAGACGTAAACAAATGAACGAACGGATCAAGGATAGCAAAAAAAGCGTTTGCTAAGAAAAACCATCGAAATAGATATATATATATGAAAACAATGTCACTGTCATGCGAGTCAATAAGCCATTGAAAACAAACAACCACTCCGCTATTAACAGTCACGTGAAAATGAATGAAGAAATGCCACCCCATTTTGCCAGGGCGCACAGATAGATACGCAATATATTCTATTTGTTGAATGAAAAAATGTGAACCAATAATTAATAAATGTTCCAGTGTTCATTCGTTCGCTCTAAGCTGACATAAGAAAAATAAAGTTTCATTTAAAAAGCGATTTATCACCACAACCAAACACCTTAGCGGCACATCTCAAAGGTGTGACCATTCTCAAATTCCCAATTGCAATTTTATGCCATCGAAGGATTTTTTTTCCACTCATATTTTATCGACGCTTCTTATCGCCCTCAAACATTGGCCATTTTTTGTCCATTCAAAACAAATTCGTTTGACACTTGAACGAACAAAAATAGCAACTCATTGTTACATTTAACGATTGGCTATCAAAAGGAAAATAAATAAAAATCCATTGATAAAATCTCACTGAACGAACGTGATCATATAATCGGAGATGACGTGAATAGAAGTACACACACATCTTTCAATTTTAAATGGAATTTCCAAGAAAAGAAACACATGTGTACAGTGTACATAATAACAAATAATCAAAATATAATTGCTAGATTCAGTTTTATCAACGTGATTACTGCCACAGTACTGAATGGAATCTGACAGTGGTGACTAACACGTTTTTTTTATATGAATAGACTCTCTCGATCACATGGCAGCTCATTCAGATTACGATCCGAAAATGTGAATCATATTTTTCAAGAGAAGTGCGATGGAAATTTTCTATTCCGCATAAATATGCATTGTTTCTCGTTTCCAAATAATTACTTAACTTCTTGTGCGTTTGATTTGAAACCTGTCAAGTTGATAAAGAAAATTAATTGAAATGTTGCGAACTATGAATTGCGTCGCAAATGCCGATTTTATTGAAAAGTTTATTTAACATAAAACAACTATGAAAACACAATGCCAGGATTTAATTTCCGACATGCATCTTTTTCTATTTCGATTTAGTTTCGTCAAAGGCCATTGCAGTTATGTGAAATTCAAAATCTGCTTTGTTGAAAACGGGAGAGAATCTAAATTAGTCTTTTGTCTTGTTCATGTGTTTATTCTCAATGTAAAATTTAATGAAAACGACACAGTCATAATTAATCCAATATAATAGTGTTTCTTCTTACGGGTCTTTTTAATAATGTTTTAATTTGCTGAAAGGGAGAGAGACAGAACATTTCAAAGTTGAATAAACTGTCTGCTGTTGAGTGTTTCGTTCATTCACACATACACAGAATGCAACAACCAAAAGGCGAGAAAAAAAGTAGTGCGAGCAAGTGAGAAAGATAAAAGGGGAATAATAACAAAGGCACGCAGTAGAAGCATATTAATGAATTCAACGAATTAATTATGGGTGCACCAAAACAGTGGATACATACATATTCCTTCTTTATTACATAGTTAGGAAAAAGGTGAATGACACAGTTTTCATTTTATTTTTTAAAAAAACCCGACCAAATCGAAAAGCTACGAAGTTTCTTGAAAACGTTGCGCTTCGAGCTAAATTAAGAACGGCATACACGAGCGAAAATTATGTACGATCTGAAAACATGACTTTGCACATCAGTTGTTGACATTTTTCTTCGGATTTGTGTGTGTGCCGATTGCCAAGTGTCAACTTTCAAATGAACAGTTTGTGCATCTGTTTGTATAATGGGTTTTTGTGCAAAATTGAATGGGGAGATAAATCCACATCACGAGAAGACGAGAGTAAAAGAGAAAGAAGAAAAGATAAACATACGTTACATTGACATTGTCGCCGAAGCCGTAACAAGTGAACGCACTTTGCCTATCCATTTTATAATTGCGTTGTATCTCTATTGATATTTGGAAACATAAACAAAAACAAATAACATGGATGTGAACAATTTTGATGATTGTAGATATGTTCGTCTACACTAACATGAAAAAACTTTCTGACAAAGCTAATAAAAGCAAGCTTACGCTTATACAAAAACTTTGTTGGCATATTGTTGTGATAGAAACGTAATTCACATTTCACGGTTTTTATGCGGTAATCGATATCGTCAATGATACATTGAATGCCACAGAGGAAACACCCTAGTGATCTTGTTGCTATGCTATGAAAAATGGCAAAGATCTATAGAAAATGAAAGAAGATTCGTTCTTCACCCGAAAATCGTCGAGTAAATACTTTCTAATAGGATTTGAAAACCGCCGTCTTTTTCGTCAGGCAAAAAAAAACAGGGAATTATGCTCTTTCCACTCCATCTCTGTAGCGGCGTGCGTCTGCTACGCTGTTTCCAAGCCAGTTCTAAATATTTCATTTGGTGACATATTCAATGTATGAGCATAAAAAGTAACAAAGCTGATTGAAAGTCATCTGACAGTGGGGGAATTTTCCGTTGACATGATTTTATTAAGCCTAATGATAGCACACAACATCAGCATAAAACGAACATTGCAC